CCGTCACTCCTGCCTGTACATTCCAGCTCTGCCGCTGTGGACAGTCACCCAATCACCCAGCAAGACTGCTTCCTCCTCCCCCTCCCTTAAGGGGAGAGTCCCCACCAGCCCACCCCCTCATTCTAAACCCCAGCATTTGGGGCCTTTGCACAAGGCGTTCCTCATCCTGGGATGCTCTTTCCCAAACCCCCCAGCCCTATTTCCTCAGTGAATTCCTGCTCAATCTTCAGATCTCAGCCTGACCCACACTGCCCCCAGGAAGGCCCCCCACACTGGGCTCAGTGCCCCCTCCATACACCCCCTCCAGCCCCGCTGGACTCCCTGCAACCCCACACAGCTCACAGGGTCTGCGTCCACTGCTGAGTGATAAACCGTTAAGGGTGGGGACCTTGTTTATCTCCCCAGTGCGGGGCACAGCACCTGCCGTATAACAAGCACTCACACCACTCGCTGAGAGAAATACAGGTGGCTTTACCCAAAGGAAGGATCATGTATGCAGTGAAGTTGGGCAGAGGCCAGTGCCCCACTCGCCACCACCATCACCGCACTCCTTCCACCCTGTCCTGGGGACAGAATCGCTCTACTGGCTTCAACCGGCCCAGCCGAATGGGACTTTGGGTTCCTGTGGGGGTTGTCTTTGCCCGGGGCTGAAACAAGGAGGTCGCCCAGGAAGGGCCAGTGCTGGAGGAGCCAGACAGCAAGGCAGCCCTACCACGACCTGACTCTGCAGTCGTCAAGCACAAGAACCCTGATGTGAGGTCCGACCACCCGGGTTCCATGCTTGTCTCTGCACTAGCAGACACTCAACTTCAACACGTCTCGGTTTTCCAGTCTACGATGATGCCGCGGTGATGATTAAATATTCAGTAGCAAACGTGAAATGACCCATAAGCCATAGGAGCTGTCGCCGTTAAGAATAACGATAGGTAACAACCTCTGGTTTCCGCGATGAGCCCCACAGTTACAGCACCCCCCCATGCCCCAGGGAGGCCGAAGATGTGCTGCCCCACCACGCCCCCAGGAGCCCCGTGTTATGATCTCTGTTTTACAGATGACGAAACTAAAGCAGAGAGTGCTTCGGTATTTTGCCAAAAACTACAGACTCAGCAAGTGGCAGAGTTAGAATCAGATCCCAAGCAATTCGACGTCAAGCTCGGGCTCTTCGCTGCCACGCTGAAAGCCTGTGTTTTCAGAAGAAACTTCTCTTGAAAGTGGTTTCGAAGAACCAAAACTTATGACAGGCCCTTCTGGGGCCCCCGGCTAACAGCTTTGGAAATGAAATATCCCAGGACAGTTTTTTCCGTTTTTTCAGTGGCTTTGGGGCTCTTTGATCTGGGTGGGAGAAAAATCGGGAATGTGAGTCAGGGCCACACAGCCCCTGCCGTTGCCAAGGGTCTCCTCCCATCCAGAGGCTGCCTGAGCCCGCAGCCCACAGGGATCTTTCCCAGACGGCCAGGAATGTCCAAGCAGAAGATGAGGAAAGAAGAGCTACTGCTGCCCGCAAGAGGTCAGCCGCTGCCGCCGCTCATTACTTCAAAAGCTCCTCAGGATGCACACATCACCCTGTGTCTCATCCTCTCGCCTCCCGTCCTCCCGGCTGTGGGGAAGGCAGTGCACGAATCTGTTCCTATTCTCCCAACATCATTTTACCAAATGGGCCAGGGTGCCAGGGTGCTGGGTTCCCAATCTGTGCCGGCTCAGCCTGTGACAGCATGGACTCATCCACTCTCTCGCAGCCCCCGTCCCCCGACTGGGAAGGGCTGATATTACTGTACTCACATTACGGCTGAGGAAACTGAGGCACAGAACCGCCGAGTGACCTGCCTGGCATCGCACACAGCAGAGCCAGGAGCTCTTGTGCCCAGGCCCAGGGCTTTTATGGGTCTCCACTTCATTGCTGCCCTCACGCCTCTGTGATGCCTGCCTCGTAAGCACGGGCCAAGGAGATGCCCAGGGTTCCTCTGAGGCACCACCACCCAGGTCCAGCCCAGCAGCCCTGGCAGAGACGTCAGCCTCTTTGGAATTCCCGAACCTACCTGCCCGCCCCTGAGGTTGCTAGGCAGTAAGCTCCATGACGGTGGGGACTCCCCCACCCCTAAATCCCCGTGGGCCTAGCACTAAGCAGAAAAATCCATCAATCCTTCCTTGAGTAAATCAATGAGTGGGTGAGTCCAGGAGGACATGGATGAGCATCCGTACAGCAGCTGATGCAGACAGGAGGCAGAACCCGTCCTTCAGGCCCAGTCCCAGCCAACCCCAAAGCCTCTGATGTCTGGGGACTCCCAGCAGAGTCCATCACCCGCTCCTTCTGATACCTAAGGGTAGGGAACACGCCCTATCCTAGAGGCCCAGGGCTCCCTCACAGCGATGCCCATCCTAACCCTCAGGGGAGGGGCTCCAGAACCCTGGGAGACACAAGGCTTCATGTTCCTCAGCCCAGTGAGAGCCCACACGAGGAGATCCCCAGCGTGGAGTGTTCCAGATAGCCAGGGCCAGGCGACTGGCCTGCGACCTGCACAGCCACGAAGCCCCTGAGCTTGGTTTCATGCTCTGCTGTTGCTGTCTTGAAATTCTTGAGAATGTCTGAACGTGGGCCCTGCGTTTTCACTTTGCGCTGAGCCCTGCAAATAATGGAGCTGGTCCTGCAGCAGCTGCCACTCCGCTAGCATCTGCGAGTTTCAGAGCTTCTCCAGCCCCGCTAATGGTTAAGGACTGTGTGCCTGCAGAGCACCCCGATTTTATTCACTCATTGTGCACCTACCTCCCTTGCAAGTGAGGGCGGATCTGGGTGAGGGGCTGGGAGGAGGTGTGTCAGATTCAACAACAGAGCTCACAGGAACTCAGGATGCCATCACCACTGCTTCACTTTAGAAACAGGGAAACTAAGGCTCAGAGAAAAGAAAGGGCACGGCGGGGACAGACCCTGGTCCTGGTAGGTCCACATCCACAGCCTGACCCCCGCATCCACTGCCTCTGGCTTTATTCCAGGGAAGGGCCTGCCCCCTCTCTGAGAGGGACTGAGGGTGCCCTTCCCCAGAAGGAAAAGAACCCTGAAGTCCACACTCAGTTCCTAGAGAGACCCTAGGCCGGCCATGGTGTCCCCGCCCTGATCACCATAGCCAGCCCCCACCTCCACCATACAACTCAATGCCAAGCCCTGTGCTGGGCTCACAGGAGGGTCCTCTGCTCTGCACTGAGCTGTCCAACTTGCCTGGAGATGAGGGGCCTGGGCTATGTCTCAAAGCTCTGGCAGTGGGAGGGAGCCGAGGCTAACCAGCCTGGG